GATGTGAGAACTTTAGCTCCGATCGATGGGGAGTTTTACTGGTCCTCCCTGTGCCACATAGATGCTCCTTCTATTAGTTCTCTGTTGCTGCCCCAAAAATGACTGTACACTTGCTGGCTTACACGGTACACATTTATTTTCTTACAGCTCTGCAGGTCAGGAGTTCGACCTTGGATTCACCAGATAAAAACAAATTGTTGGCAGGGTAGCATTTCTTTCTGGAGGCTCCGGGGAAGAAGGTGCTTCCTTGCTCATTTGTGTTGTTGACAGACCCCAGCAAGTGGTCGTTATGGGACTGAGGTTCCCGTTTCCTGGCTGGCTGTCAGCTGGGACCACACTTAGCTCCTGTAGGCTTCTCTCCGGTCCTTGCACACAGCTGCCAGCATCTTAGAGCCAGCAGTGGGGTGACAAATCTTTCTCATGCTGCCATGTCTCTGACCCACCTCTTTCCCTTCTTTTTTTTTTTAATTTTTAAAAATGTTTTATTTATTTTTGAGAGAGACAGAGTGCAAGTGGGAGGCAGGGGCAGAGAAAGAGGGAGAGACAGACCACGACTCCTTTAAGGTCTGAGAGCTGTGAGCCATGAGCTCTGACATGGGGCTTGAACCCATGAACCGTGAGATCATGACCTGAGTCAAGCGACGCTCACGACATAGAGGCCACCCTGGCTCTTTTCTGCTCCACCTTTAAAGAGTCGCAAAGTGCAGATTGCGGTCCATCCAGATAATGTGAAGTCATCTCCCCACTCCAAGGTCTTAATCACATCTGCAAGGTCTCTCTTACCACGTAAGGTGACAAATTCAGAAGTTTTGGGGCTGGGCATCAACATTTTGGGGGAGGGGCTGTTATTTTGTATAACATACTCTCAACTTAGAATTATCTTGAAACCGGCGCTGTGGTGGCGACGTGTTAAGGCCCGGACTTCAGCCAGGTCACGTGTTGCGCTCCAGAGTCTCAGCCGTGATCAGGCTCTGGGCTGATGGCCTGATGCCGAGCCTCGTTTGATTCTGCTGTGTCTCTCCTCTGCCCTCCCGCTTCATGCTCTGTCTCTGTCCAAAATAAATAAACGCTGAAAAAAATAAAAAAAAAAAAAAAAAAGAATTATCTGAAAACCCTTGACCTATAGGTGACCAATGTGCATCAGTGATAGGACCTGGCCCCAGGACGTCTAGGTCAGGTTTCACTTTTTTCCAAATCACATTTGAAGTTAGATTATACCCACTGCTGGCTTCATCTCATGTTTCCATAAGCAGAATTGAAAGGCATTTTCAGGTGGACCTTGGTACCCCAGGCTCTCAACAACTCTCCCTGCCTGTTCATCTTCCTCATTTACCTCACGGACTAGTAGCTGACATTTAAACCGCTCAAGTTCAACCCCAGGATCTCAAGAAGAAAGTTTTACATGGGCGTTGAGAACATGGGACTTCATCATACTTTTTTATGAGTTGTATTTAAGTCTTTTGATGACAAAATTCAAGCAGAAGAAATCACAGCGGTGCCCCATCCTATGTGAAGGGTTTATCCTGGTGTATGTTCTCTCTATACCCCCCCACTCTGGCCCTCTCTGGAAGCGTCACTGCTTCTCTGAGGAGTCTGTTTCTTCCAAGTGCCGGAACATGTCATTTCTCGTCTCCGACCACAGTGCTCACAGAGAGTGGGGAGCATCAGCAGAACAGACACGGGATTTCACGTGGGCCGGATGCTGGGTCACTGGGAAAGTCACAAATGATAAAGGAAGGGGACCGTCCCCACAGGGGAGAAAAGATCCTTCAGGAGTGGGGGAACGGAAGGAGATGAACTTGAACCTCCAGCCTTGACCGGATGTGGGCTTAAAGCCACGAGGACTGGTTTAGGTGGGGGGTATTGAGACGAAATGCTACTAATGTCAGAAGTGGACAAGGACAGAAAAACCGAGGGCTGTTTTCTGGTGTTCAGGAAGTAGAAGATATCGGATATCTGCTCTCTATCGCCTCCCTGCTCCACAAATGATTCTGCTTGTCAATAGCAGCTTCTTTTTCCGTGAAGGGACCTGGGCCAGTATTCCTCAGGCTGAAGCAGCGTCATCTGGGAGCCATCCCTGAGACCCCAGTTGGAAATACTTGTCTGTCAGAAACCATTATGATGGGGCTGCCTGAAGAGTCTCTGCAAAGGAGCTCTTCACAGATTTCCATGCTTACTCACAGGAGGAGACTCTTCTTCTCCACACCCCTACTAGGACATGCTTGTTCGGTCCCCAGGATCCCCTGCTGATAGGACATACCCTGCAACTGTGATGTGAATTGAATGTGCAAATGAGCATCAAGACATCCTGGCAGTCTTCCAGCAACGTCAACTAAAGGGAAATCTCATGAAAGTCTGCAGCAGTTAACAGAGCAGGGGGGGGAAGTGTATTGTTGCCGATGCCTGTAATACTATCGGACCCCACACCAGGACCTGCCTGTGGGCATAAGCATAAGTGTAAGCGTAAGAACTCCAAGTAACTTCATCTCGTATCTGCTCGTCATCCTCTAGGAGAGTATCTATGGGGACCACGGCAAGGTTCAAGTTCACAACTCATGGAAGGGCCACCTACCGATTTCTTTGGACAGTAGGAATATCTGCACAGAGATGAATTCATTGGGAGGAGGGCAGGTGGCAGAACAGGTGAGCTCTTTCCTAGCAATGGGGAGATCTTGACTGCCTGCCTTGCTAACAGACAGGAACTCTTGGACTGATGTCATCTCCTGACCTTGCTGTGGATTTAATTCCACGGACCACTTGCAGGCCAGCTGTGGCAGAGCTGGAGGCAGAAATGTTTCCCACTTCAAGAACTCACAGACCTGGGGCACCTGGGTGGCTCAGTTGGTTAAGCATCCGACTTTGGCTCAGGTCAAGCTCTCATGGCTCTTGGGTTCGAGCCCCGCATCGGGCTTGCTGCTGTCAGTGCAGAGCCTGCTTTGGACTTTCTGTCCCTTTCTCTCCCTGCCCCTCTCCGACTTACTCTTTCTCTCTCTCTCTCACTCGAACATAACATTAAAAAAAAAAAAAAAGAACTCACAGACCCAATAATTCCTTCAGAGAGTCATTTATTTTGATTTTTTTTTTTTTTGGTCATGCTTTGAAAGAAATGTGTATAAGGATGTCTTTTTTAGGCAACTGCTTTCAAAGTTGAGACCAGCATTTCTGCTTTATCTCCCCCATTTGACTGCTTCCACCATTAGCAGAAGGCACAGTGGCCTCTGCAAGACAGCGAGGGCAGTTCCGACTTCTGTTTTCACCTCCACGGTTGACCAAAAATTCCAGCAGGCAAACTACAAGCATGCTGAGATTCCCAGTTGCCTTAGGTGCTAAACACTGGATTAAAAAAAAAAAAATCACACCTGGCAGATCGTTGGTTAGTACAGTTCATTGTGTTCGTGATGACATCCATCACACAAATAGCACTGGCAAAGAGTATGAGTTTGGAATTCCAAAGGTCGCGAGTTTGCTTCACTGGACTCCAGCCCAGTGTGACCTCTAGTTAGCTATTGACCTATTTAAATACCAGTTTCCTCGGATGTAAAATATAGATAACGTCTCCTTGTAGGGTTGATGTGAGATTTATACACACTGAGTATGGGAAGCACGAGGCACAGAGTCTGACTCACACTATACTAACTCCATTACTAGATGTCATTTTTGCCCGCAAAATAAAAGAACTAAACCATCAACGGTCATTAAATGCTGTCTTTCTCAAGATGGTAATCTTCTCTGAGGTTATCTAAAGACTATTTGAAAAGTTAACCTTTTCTTCCTTTAGAACAGGCAGGAAAAAAAAAAAAAAGAACAATTAGGGCAATTATCTTAACCTAACCGCTTATAATATGGAGATGTGTGACTAAAACATTAGGTCAAATAAATTTGCTTGTAGAATGTGGAGCTAACGTGCTGGGTTAGGTCGTGAATGCAAGGTTTGCAGGAACCCAGGGGATCCAGAATGGCTCTGAACTTCAGCCATAAAAGGAACAAAGATCTCAAGCAAAACTGCCCAGAGGGGGAGCAGAATTTCCTGGGCAGAGCACCTCCCTGACCCTGGCCTCCTCCCAGGAGAGCCTTGCCCCTATGAATACACATTCAAGGCCTAAAATACAGGGCAGTTTCACAACCCATTGCAGGGGTAGTGGGTGGGGTGGTGCAGAACTTCCTGGCAAGATTGTAGACCTCAACAATAAAACACCTATACGCCCCTGTGAGGGCAGAGAGAACTCTCTGGACTTCGCCTATAGAAGGAAGGAGCTAACCTCCACCCATTTGATGAATGGCGCTGTAGCAATCTTGTGACATATGAAGCTGGAACCGGTTCTGAAATTTCTCTGTAGCATTTCCTGCTCTTAGCAAGGGAGTATGAGTTAGACATCGTTCTAGTACTTGAACTCCCTAGCTCTTTTTTGAACGTCTTTGTCATGCAATGGTTTTACAGAGAAAAGATTCCCAATCACTAGCTCAATTAAAAACTTTTCCCCGGATCGGAGGAAAGAGGGAATGGTACATTATTTCAGAAAGCACAGGGATGGGAAGGAATCCAGTTTTTCTTGAGACTTAAGGAGTTGCCTGAAATGACCACCTGAAACCTCTGTTCCCAGAATAATAAAAGACCTAACTGTGAAGTTCAAAATCTTGCTGGGTGGGTGCGGGGAGAGAATCGTGGAAGAACACCAACAGTTGGCTCTGAAATTTTCTCGAGACAAAAAAGCCAGCCCCAATGAGGGGCGGCCCACTGTAATTCTGCTTGACAGAGTGTGACACAGCCCCCCGTGTGTCTGTGCACATGCACGCAGCTGCTTGCTGAAAGCAGAGCGCCTGCCCACATCACAGCCACGTTCGTGCCACCCAAGCACCCAGCTGGCTTCCCGTAGACAGCCTCGTGACAATTTCAGTTTTTCTTGTTTCTTCTCCTCGCCTCCTTTTTCTCCTTCCCTCCGTACCCCCATCTCTCTCGAAAGGATCTAAGTCCTGTAACACTGTTGCTGGGAGAAAGGGCTTTACTTGGCGACTTTTGGCTTACAGGATCGTTGGTGAACAATCAGTCTGTCTGGCAGGAAGGTACGCCCACAAATATTACAGGGAACCAACTGGCTCAGGGCGCTTGTCCAAGCAGCTTCATTTAAGGCATCGAGATCATAGAAACCTTTGGCTGGAAAGTTAAAGAAAAAGAAGAAGAAAAAAGAAAAAAGGACCAAAAAGGAAAGAAAAGAAGAAAATGGTAAAAATGGATCCTTTTTTATTCTGGAGCACCATACTCTACTTTTTATGGAAAATATTTTCAGGAAATACCTGTTGACTGAGGCTTTTAAACAAATCATACTTTTTGTTCCAAACCCTCTTTCAGGGGTTGAATAAAAAGTGAGCTATGAACCAGAGACTTTTCGCTCCTTGGATTTTAAAAAGGGGAAGGAGTTGTTTTATGTATTATGATATGCATTCTTCACTAATTATTAACATCTTTGCTTACACATGATTATCTTGCAAATATAACTTTTGGCCTTCTTTCAATTGACTCTAAATAGAAGCTTACAAAGGGAAAAGAACATGTATTTGTACTTTCCTCTTCTGTAATCCTTCAGTGGAATGTTTTTAAAGGCCAACACTGACAGTTAGGGTGAATTTAGGATGAATGATATCCTAAAAATGTATCATCTCTTCACGGTCATAAATGTGGAGATTCTTTAAATAATTAAACCAAAGAATGCAAACAGAATAGTTAACCTGATGAAAAGAAGCGTCCTTAAGAGAACAATCAAGACGTCTGAGAGATGTATAATCTTCATTGGCAGAGCATAGGAAAAAAGTCATATGGCTTTATTTTAGAGAAACAGTGTGGGAGTTAGCTTTGATAAACCTTATTTAAATAGAATGACTTTAGTACATTAAATTGACTGTGTCTTAGAATTGCCCCAAATAGCACCCCCCCCAATGTAGCCAGGCACTCAAACATAAATTACATACTTAACAAAAAATCATTTTAACAGAATATATTTCTTCACTAAAGCCCAGGCAATTTTCCTATGACTTCTTCCTAATGATTCACACAACCATAGTAAACTTCAGATTCTCTCCTGCTACTTTGAATGTTCCTTATTTTACTCCATGAAAAATTGAACCCCAGCACAGCCTAGTATTTCTCCTTTAGACAAACCAAGTACCACTTTCTACACAGGATATGAATTTTGAGAGCTTTGAAGACTGTTGAAAAATAAAATGGCACTGACTTTCTCCTTACTCATGACTTTTCCTATGGATTCAAAAATTCCAGAGTATTCACGGAGTCTCACTGGAGATGACTCATCATGTTGCTAAAAGTTTTTGAGTATGACTTTGACTTTGGATCTGGAGGAAGGGTTATTTGGACTTCATGACCACAGTAAGTCTGTGGGATGGAAACAAGAATGGGGATTCTCTCTCTGCCTCCTGAGGCAGGATGCCTTCAGAAATAGAAACAGCATGGGACCAAGAGGTAAGTTGCAGAGAAGGGCAGTTACGGGGCCTACCTTTTCCATCTGTGGGCAGTAACTGATTAATGAGTCCCCGAGGGCCTTCAAGCCAGTCATTACTCTCTGATCTTCTAGACTTGTGATAATTATGCTCAAGCAGAAAAACGGATATGGTCAGAAGTGAAGAAAACAGATTTTTTGAAAACACAGAGAACTGCTGGGAAGAGAGTTCCAATGAGATAAACAACATCCTTGTGGGCAAATGCTCTAATTTCAATGGATGGATGTGTTCATCTTGAGCTCTTTTCCCACCTGTGTGAAGAGTCCTCCCCTTGGTAAGGGTTGTGAATAAACGGGTTCTTGTAGCCTCTAGAACTTTATCATGACAACCTAGATTCCACTCTGTGGGTTCTTGGGTTACATTTCTTTTTTTTTAATGTTTATTTATTTTTCAGAGAGATAGAGAGAGAGAGAGAGAGAGAGAGAGAGAGCATGAGTGAGGGAGGGGCAGAGAGAGAGGAGACACAGAATCTGAAGCAGGCTCCAGGCTCTGAGCTCTGAGCTGTCAGCACAGAGCCCAACGTGGGGCATGAACTCACAAACTGTGAAATCATGACCTGAACCAAAGTCAGATGCTCAACCAACTGTGCCACCCAGGCGCTCCTCTTGGGTTACATTTCTAACAAGAGGGCTTTGGACTAATCAATGGTAATGACTTCTGGGGTACCCTACGGCTACGCCAGTCTACAGTTACACATGAGGGATTGGTGGGTTGAATGATAACTTTTCTTAAAACCAAGAATGGTTTTCCCTTGAGGGGAATGAGGGGATCCGCTGAGAAAATGACAATGGGAGAAATAAGAGGAGGAAGTCGGAGTTTGCATGGCAAACAGTCTCTGGATGACTTTGTTCTCACCCCAAATGAGTAAGCATAAGGCTCTGTGGGGAGGCCACACATGGCAGTTTATGGAGCTTCATCTGGCTTGTGCGATGCTTTACAATGTATTAGTTGCAAAATTTGAAAGCTCTGGGCCTGGGGGTGCCTGGGTGGCTCAGTCGGTTAAGCATCCGACTTCAGCTCAGGTCATGATCTCGCAGTTTGTGAGCTCAAGTCCCACGTTGGGCTCTGTGTTGACAGCTCAGAGCCTGGAACCTACTTCAGATTCTGTGTCTCCCTCTCTTTCTCTGCCCCTCCCCTACTCACATTCTGTGTGTCTGTCTCTCCCTCAAAAATAAATAAACATTAAAAAAAAAAAACAAAGCATACAGATTTCTAGATTTCCAGTTTCTTTTGTATTGTTGAAAACTATGCCCACACTAGGCTAAATTTCCAGCTGCCTCTTTTGGAGAGAGTCCATAATTCTCCAGCTCCCCATGGTCCTCAGCTTCCCTCGTGTCACACATGGATCAATTTACTCAGTTTTATACCCCGGCTAGTGGACCCTGCACACTTTGAGTTTGGTACCCTGCTCTGTGAACGTGAAGACACATTCCTATTTGAAAACATGTCTCCAGATGCCCTGAAAGATTTTTGAGGCTTCATGTTTTTTAAGTATCATGTTTGATAATATAGGAAAGTAACTTCCGGGAAATACAAGAAATTCCAGTGGGTCCCTCTCCTTGCATGGTTTTGCCAGAAGTAGCGTCTTTATGTCTCAGCATCTGAAGGCATCTTGGTCAGGCATTCTAGAACCATTTTTCCTTTTCGGTTATAATGAAGACAGTAACTGTTGCTGATTTCTGATGTTTGAATAAGTAAGAAAAGAATACCTCTCCTCTTAAAATTTCACAGAGAAAATTCTCCCCATATGCGCTCAAGTCTTTCTTTCTTTCTTCTTTTCTTTTCAAAAACTTACCAGTAATGGTCCTGACTTCTGGTTTCTTGGGTTCTGATCTCCTTAATTCTTTGGGCAACAAGTTGTTTTCGTTATGCCATTTTTTCAGACATTGTGGCTCGTGGATGGCAATGGATTTTGTTCCATATTCACGGCCACAAATGTAGCAGATGATTGTTGGTGGACGCCTTATCATTGCTGGCTACAAATAATATAAAATATCTGTTAGATAAAGTTTAGGTGTAGAAATTATACGTTAAAATTATAGTACATTCAAATTAGCTAGACAATCACATTTTTTTTTTTTTTTTGGTTTTTCGTTTTCTAATTTCAACCAGTCAGGTAAATTGAACTTTTGTGGCACTTAAGAGAATAAACCATACCATCTGAGTGAGTGGGGTGTGTGTGAAGATGTGGGTTTGGGAGGATGATAGGAAATAAAGAACTAACTAGAGTTCTACAAACTGGCTTTTCTTATAAAATGTGTTTTCTCATCTAATAATTATTAATTATCTCCTGGTTATTCTCCATGCTAGGAGACTACAAAAATAAATCATGTCTGAATCATCTTTTCGCTAAACTCAGGCTCTAGTATGCCAATATCCCTGAGAATTAAAGCTGTAAGTGTCATTGGAGAGTTTAGAACAGACATTGGGTACCCTCCCACATTCCCTTACACAAGGACAACTTCCTCTGGCAAGTACCTGTGACTCTCAGCCTTTTTTGACCTGGTCTAGGCTCCACCCATAGACAGGGCAGCTAATCAATCACAAGCAGCGGGTGGTGGATAAATAGCCACTTCCTTACTGAGGCTGATTCCACGCAGTGTTCCGTGGGATTGCAGCTCAGGTGCTCATTCACACACTGTACAGACTTCCTTCTCTTCCCTGTCTTTCCTCCCACTACTCTACTGGGGCTTCCTGGGATCACCTCCCAAATAAACCATTTGAAATCAAATCCTCAAATCCTTTACTTAGCATTTGTTTCTGGGAGGACTAAATCTAAGGAAGAGTTAAGGATAAAACAGAAAAGGTGTTTCTGCTTCTGTCCAGGGGATAGAAAGTTACAAGAAACATTGCTCCTGCTTAAGCAATTAGAACCAATCAGAGAACTTAAAGAACCGTTATTTTTGAGTCCATTGGAGACTCACGGTTGCAAGGTAAGTTAATGAACTAGAAGAACTGCCTCAGTCTGAGAGTGCATCAGCACAATCAACACCTCCCATGCTCCAACCTTACAAGAATATGAGACAGTAGTTGTCTGCCACAGAGAAAAGGCAGGATGGGTGAGCATGAACCCTACTAAGGAGGAGCCATGCAGGAACTGTCTACATAAACCCTCCCATCCACCAGGTCTCACATCCAGTAACAGCGGGTGGCAGTCTAACATTGGAGAGAGGCAGGACTGTTGAGAGAAATCTTCACCAATTCAAGAATGCAGGGCCTGCCTGGATCGGAAGGTGGAGCTGGAGAATTAGGCCTTGCACTGGGTACCAGATAAGAAGAGTCTACTGCTGATGGAGGTGTGGGAACCTAAAGAGGAAGGGGGCAGTAGGAAGGACTCCCTCTGTGTTGCATGCATGAAGGGCCACAGCCTTCTAAGGGTGCAGCAGGTGAACAGGGAACAGGCTTTTGGCTCCAGACTTTATACTAAGTACAAAACAGAGGAAGCTTATCACTGGGGGAATTTAAAGCCTATAGTACATTGAACTGAACTAAAGCAGGGATGAAACATCAGAAAGAGATTGTCATAGAATTCTTAGATTTTCCTTGAAGTAATTTTTTAAACATAGAATGTGATATACTAAAGATGCAAATTTTATTCTCTACAGTAATCACAAAGTGCAAAGACACACAAAAAGGCTGAGTGAAGAATTCAACAAGGGAGATAGGCTATTTTTTAAAAATGGTAAGTTAATCACTTGCCAAAGAAAAGGAGGAAAGGATGAATATAAGACCAACCAAGCAACCAACAAATAAAGAAAAAGGGCAAGAGGAACAAATAGAATTAAAATGCCAAGATGGTAGACTTAAATGCAAACATATCAATAATTGCAGCAAATATAAATGGACTAAAGAACATAATTAAAAGGCAAGGATTGACAGACTAGATAAAAAAAATAGTATAGACAAAAAACAACTCTATGTTGTTTACAAGAAACACATTTTATGAATAAAGACACAAACATATGACAAGTAAAAGGATGGGGAAGAAGTTTCATGTAAACACTAAGCAAAAGAAAACTAGCATGGCTATATTAGTAACACAAATGAAGTGCAGAAGTTGGAAATAGTTCTTCTAGTTGTGAAGATCAGGGAAAGCCTAAAGGAAGTGGCCCTTGAAGGATGGGTAGGATTTGGATCACAAGAAGGTTTTGGAGATGGAAAACAGCATGAGCAAAGCCTCAGGGATAGGAACCCGAAGACGAGGACAGAGAATAGCAACTAATATAAAATATTTATATTAATAATAACAAATAGTTGCCTGGAATTTGGTGTAGCCTTGAGAACTAGAACCAGATAGTTCAGCTGCAGCCATGCTATGAATAACAAATACCATGCTAAGAGCTGGATTTCGTTTTGTAAATGAGAGGAAGCTGTTAAGCAGGGGAATACCCTATAATTTTACTTCAAGAAAATTAATCTGGCAATAATGTATCTCAAAGGGCAATCTTGCCAGCATACACCTTTGAGCATTCACAGCTCTGGGAGCAGGAAATCATGGATCCAAGAGAACATTAGTGGTGATGTCACTTGCAGAAAGCTGGAAACCTGGAAAGGCAGGTTGGGGGAGGAGAAAAAACGGATTCTGTTCTGGACCTGTTGCATTTGATATACTAGTAGAATTTAAATGTAAGTACAGCCAAGACAGGAAAGACAGACATGTCATTCAGAATTAATGGGTTTCAGAGCTATGCACACAGAGATGTTTAAAATCATGAAAACTCTAGAAAAGGAGTATATAGAGAATGTATGGAGGCAAAGTCCTGAGGGAATATCTACGGCAAAGAGATTGGGCATGGGAAATCACAGCCTAAAAAGATAAAGGTTCAATTGTGCAGTTAAAGAAACAGGCCATGGAGACGAAAGACTCCATTGGGAATTCTGCCAACACTTCCGGTTTCCAGAAAGGTGGCTTCATCAGCTCTGTCCAGTGCCACTGTGAGTAACGGGGGCTTGAGGAAGGTCACTAGATTTGCTGGCCGGCAGATTTTATACCAGTGACTTCTAAGAGTTTAGCTTCAATGGAGGGACAAGAATAAAAAGTAAACTGTTACAAGCTAAAGATTAGGTCAAGGAAACAGAGATGTGTGTTTGAAAAGTCTGCAGAAAGGAAATTTGAGAGATGAGTCGAGTTGAAGAAGTGCTTTGTTGTTGTTTTAGGGGTAAGAATGTCTCAGGCAGAGAGAGCTGGTTAGGATGAAGAGAAGAGGGACAGTATGAGAACAAGGTTCTCAGACAAAGCAGGAGAAGATAGGATCTGGGATGTGATGGAGATGTTAGCCTCTGGGGACAGGGAAAAAAGATGAAATAGAGATGGGGTGTTAAGAAGTAAGGCACAAGGGGCACCTGGGTGGCTCCGTGGGTTAAGCATCAGACTCTTGATTTCAGCTCAGGTCATGATCTCACGGTCCCCGGGTTTGAACCCTGTGTCGGGCTCTGTGCTGACAGCTCGGAGCCTGCCTGGGATTCTCTCTCTTTCTCTCTCCCTTTCTCTGACCCTCCCTTTCTTTCTCTTTCTTTCTCTCAAAATAAATAACTTAAGAAAAAAGTAAAGCCTAAGCAGAGCTGCTGTAGGATGAACTTACAGGAGTATGAGGCAAATCATTGACAGAGAACGAAGAGATTCAGAATCTGGGAAACAGAACAGCAAAAATTACTGAAATTTTTTGCAAAAAAAAAAAAAATCTGGAAGTCTCCTGGCACTGCAAAGAATGTGATACTGATTCAATTAGGGAATAATACTCACCAAATAATGGAAAGACCCGGTTAAGTTGAGCTGTAAGAAATTTCAGCGGAATGAAATGACCTTTTCCAGTGTGTTCATAAGGAGCACTAGGTGGTATGAAAGCAGAAACAAATTTGAGTTGGTGGTGTGGTTCTCTCTCCCCCCAAGGAATAATCAGGGTAAAATAAGTAAATCAGGGTAACGAATCAGGGTAAAATATGTGCCTATTTTAGAATCAGCCAGCTTTTCACTAAAGCTGTTGGGGGTTATACCTGTAGTGGAAACAGAGCAAAATCAAAATAAGAAGGGAACACATTTCTGGTTTCTGCACACCTGAGCCGACGTGACAGATTCTAGAGGAGTAAAGCCACTAACATACACCAAGCAAAACGGAAAATGGAGTTATTCCTGAGAGGATCCGCGTTTCTAAAAAAGCACATTATTTGCTAGAGGGGAGGTGGGGAGGGGATGGGCGAAGTAAGGTAAAGGGGATTAAGCGGTACAAACTTCGAGTCGTAAAATAAGTAAGTCATGGAAATGAAAAGTACAGACCGGGAATATAGTTAGAAATACTGCAATCGTGTTGTATCGTGGCAGATGGTAACTATGCTTATCGGGGTGAGCACTGAGACGACAGGCTTGTGAGCTCACTGTGTTGTATACCTGAAGCTAATATAACATTGTATATCAGTGATACTTTGATAATTAAAGAAGAGTGATCTTTTTTAAAAGCACATTTGAGGGAGAACATTTTTCTTCTATTACTCTATACTGAATTACGCCAATAAGTTACATTCATCAGAAAATGGCTAACTAGTTTTTAGCCATGTTTTTTATTAGCCACGTAATAGGGTCTAATGCCTGCAAAGTGACTTTAAAAGTATTTAAGGAATTCAAGATGTAAGAGAAAGGATAAAGCAGAAGCAAGGATTTTCAAAATACCCAAAAGTTCCTTACTATATTTTATAGGTTCATTTACTTGAAGATTAATTCAATACAGGGTTTTTTTTAGTAAAAAAAAAAAAAAAAATGAGAAGTTCGTCTCTTCACTTTGAGAATAATGAATATTAATATTCCACATGGAAAGTATGAGCCAAAATCGAGTATTTAACCAAGCACATAAGCAAAAAAATGGCACGGGTCATTAATGAAGACATTCACGTCACATTGTCAGAAGGTTTCTTTTGGAAGGAAAAATGAGAAGAAAACAGGCAGATGCGGAGGCCAGAAGACAAGCACAAAATAACT